CCCCACCCCCAATCCTACTGCCCCCTCCTCACGGCGCACCCCTGTTTTCTACCACAGAAGACCCTATCCGTGACACCAGTGCAGAGGTCGGCTTCCACGGACCCCTGCCGCAATGGTCAAGCCGAACAAGACCAGGATGGATGGACCTGCGTGCGCCTGCCTGTTTTCGGCAGAAAACAACGGATTTTTCCCCGACACTTTTCCGAATCGAGTCCTCTAAAGCTGTGGCGCAGATGATGGCAGTGGACTTTCTTGGCTTCCTTGCGATGACTAAGACAATCCTGAATAGAAAGAGTTCTAGAGATGAGAATGTTAAGGTACATATGTTAAAATATGAACCTCTCCGTGCGTTGCTGTATTTTTTTTAAAATTCCTTTTTGTTTTTACAGATTCTCTGATACCAGATGGAGCTTATATCCTACTCTGGACCCTGAAGCCTATGTAGGGCTCTTTTTTTTTTTTTTGCATCGTTTTAAAAGCTACGTACAGGCGTGTGCAAGAATATAGCACAGGGGGAGAGAGAGAGAGAGAGAGGAGAGAGAGAAGAGAGAGAGACAGCAATCCCTGCCTATTAGATCAACATTACTTCTAAGGCATATGCTTACAAACACCAAAACAGGGCTGACTTGCAATGTTCAGGAAATTCGAAAAGGTATAATAAGAGCATAGTACTAATTGCAATGGTGTTACTCTGTTATGTATGATAGAAACTGATCATGTCCTCCTCTTTTGTTTTGCGACAATCCAAGAAGAGATCTGCAAGAATGACTTAGCAACCAGGTACCTCTACTACTCTTATTGTCGTACAACAAAGGTATATAATATCTATTATTCTCTCGCTCTCTCTCTCTGTCTCTCTCACACTCTTTCTCCTTGTGCATCTGCAATGGTATCCTGCTCTTTACCTAGACTAACATCGTCCGTCCGTCTACTGTTTATTTATAAAGTAGGTATACGTGGGTGTGCTGAAATTTAACTTCGCCTTTTTCTTATCTCCTGCAGTCGCATGTTAAGATTTGGAGACTACCATGACTGTTTTGTGCGGGAAAGGCAATTTCTTTTTTTTCCCCTTTTCGATTCCTTCCTGGTGTTGTTGATTCCAGCCCTGCTGGCAGTGCGCACACAGTACAGTGCAGGCAGCAAGCGAGGACACGGGGCTGCTCCTGTGTGTGTCGGGGATCGCCGGCGTGTTTCCATACAGAGACCTGCATGGATATATCCGATCGATCTGTGTAATGCAAACACGCGTGTGGACGCATGTCAGCGTGGGGGAGTGCAGCGAGGGGCAAACTGGTCAGTTGGAAAAGACGAATGATGGGTTGATCTATGCAGGCAGATGGATGCTGGAACAGACAGGAGAGGGGATCTGTGCACATGTGTTGCTATGCAGGAGCTTAGCAGGGCAAACCCGACAGGGATGTTTATCTTGGGTTTGAGCTCTTTGTGTTCACAGTGGACCTTGATTTAATTTTATACAATTAAGGCACGCGGTGAATGCCAAGAGAGAAGCCACGAGCACCTTTTATGTTCAAGATCTAAGGGAAGGAAACGGAACAGGTCAACAAGGGAAACAGCAGGGCAAACTAACCCTGGTGCCTACGGGGAAGAGAGCAATTTCTGCATTTATATTATACACACACACATATCCAGTATAGAAAACGAACAGGTTGCAGTCTTTGTTGAGGACAATACTAATGATCCTTACTGCAAACTCCAGTCTGCGTTGAGTGTCAGGCAGTGCATATACCAGCAGAATACTAATGCCCCTTTCACAGAATCTGCGGGTGTAATAGAAATTTATATGATTAAATAACACAGTGTAGGGCTGTTGGAGGAACTGGGGGAGGGGGGGCAGTTTTATTAATGGACTGCTCTTTTTTTCCCCCCGTCCAATTAAGCTGGTAAATATTCAAAGGCATTTCTGGCGAAAGGCAAAGTGGTATTCTGCTAATCAAGGTGATTGAAATAGGTCTCGGCACCTCATGCCTGCCATTGTTCTGAGGGTTTTGGAGGCTGTGAGAACTAACAATTCAGGTTTGAACATTCTGGTTGGAAAAACTGCTTAAATTGTCATGTCTCACAAATTATTTTTGCTTGCCTGCTATTTCCCAGTACCGATAATGCTCATTGTTTAGCTACGTCTTTAGGCTTTTGACGTTAAATTACAAAAAAACGTGGTTAAACTGATGCGCACTTAATATAAGTTGTACAAACCACAGTGTGCAGTCGGCACAGGTGCTGGTCTGAGTCTCGTCACAGGGTTCGTAAAAGCCGCCCGGGTTGCATGTTAACAAACTACAGTTAGAGCTGTCCGCTCTGATTGAGGTCAAAGCCTAAAACAAGAGGCCAACAAGAACACCGTTAAAACAGCTGGCGATATTCGAAGTTAAGCACAGGGGGAAAAAAACATAGTTCAGTGCATGTCGACTATTTGTTTTGAAATACAATAAATTCAACATAGCCAACCCATGGAAATCTTTTTTTCTTGTCTCAACAAGTTTAATTTCCTAATGATACTAATTTACTGACCAAGATATTTGTTTAATAATGCAAGAACCCCCCCAAAAAGTTGCAAAGCGCTGCGAGTTTGACCTACATATGCAGTCTTGCGCGACTGGAAGATTCTTTCAGTCACCCACCGATATTTCTGCATTTAAACGTAGACTCGCACTTTTAACACCTACTTTCTAATCGACTGTATTTTGGTGTCATGGTGTCATGCGAAAAGCTAAACCTAGGAATAGGACCCTGGAAATTCATGTTCGGAAGCAATAAATACATTGGATTTTTGTTCGGTAGCAGTAGTAAAGTATACAGCTTTACTGTTAACAGATCCTGAATGAGATACCCCAGGCCAGTGTGGATTTGAGAGAAACCAGCAAGCGCACCTTGGTGTGTTGTTAAAGCACTAATATTTTACCACTGATAAAAAGAACAACAAAAATAACTAGCAAAAAGTGAATCCATCTAAAACCATGTCTAGACGGGTATGAAATATTAAAGAGACAGTCGAGTCAAACTTGGCCTAAATATCTCCTCTCTTCAGTACTTCGAGGAGACGACGTGCTCGTCCGAGTGTACAGATATATATTACCTGACAGCGGGGAGAAATGACTAAATAAATAAGCGAATTTTCTAGTGCTCAGGACAGAACACAAAACACAAGGGTTTCACTGAGATGGGGCACAGGCTACACCAAGACACGTGTCGCATTTGCTAGGAGGGGTTACGCATGATCCTATATGTTTACTATTAATTTTACGCATTAACTATTTGCTGTCAGGATAAAAAAAACTAAATTTGCTAGTCAAATCCTCGTAATGGGAGCGGCTGACCGATTACAATAATAAAAGAACAACTGCAGCCGGGATAAAGGCAGGAAATAAATCATAATGACAATCAGCTCATTCATTAACGTTTCATTTTGACAGACGTCTGTATCGGGTATTAGCTTTTCGTGTTACCCTGAACATACAAAAGTTCTCCAGTGCAGGATATTATATTTTATACAGTGTTCTTTGCATAGAACACACAACACATTGTGCTGTAAGTTCAGAAAGAAATAACAGTACCTCGGCGTGTGAGTTTTCTCCAGGTCTATCATCAGTCGAAACAGAATGACCGGCCCGTTTTTACCAGCTAGGCCAAACTCGGCAGTCAATAAAAACTATATTTGGGATCCGATCTATAAATTCGAGATTCTGAGGGAAAAAAAGACATTACATTATGTCATTAAATAAAGAAAATTCAGAAACAAAATACTGACATTTTAAAAATCTAAAGATAAAATATTTTTTCTCTCTTTTCTTTGGTCCGACAGATCAAGCCGGATGGTATACCTACAAATCCCGGCGATTTGTCAAACCTAAATCGAAGAATCAAGGCCTAGGCATTCACTATTAGATTAATTTTATAATCTCTTCAGCAAAATCTTAACACGTTTCAGGACCGTTATTTTCAATTTGTAATACTATATTTCTCATTTCTCGCTGTAGTTCCAGCAAACGTGGAAATAAAATCTGCTGAATCTCGTAGTTTTGTTTACTCAATTAAAATAGTCCATTAAAAGAAAAAGAGATGTAATTAATTGTCCCTGAATAAAATTTAACATCCCTAAACTATGGGATATTTCCGATTTTGGCACCGATTTCGCTTGATTTTCCGTTGCCGAAAGGAAGCTAAGAATACCGCAGCAGGCCTAGTGGAGACAACAATTCATTTTTAAACTGCAAGGAACCTAATAAATAGTGTCCATATAAATTAAAATAAATAATAAGATCAATAACTCGCACGTATATTCATTGAGAAAGCATCACGGGATACCGTGATACTCAAAAGTGAACACAACAGCAGGAAAGAAGTCTTTATGTAGACGATTTGTCAAAATTAACAGGATGAGGAAAATTAACAAATTCTCTACATAAATTAATAATTTCAGTAAACAGACTACCTACCGACAGTCAGATATGGTTATAGCTACGTAAATACAAAAGTGTAACAATACCACAGCCAACAACTATTTTTTAATGCGGTCCTGTAAGTGGCCTTTTCCATTTTGCCATTTGTATTGTTTTTCGTTAGTAATATAGGTCCCTCTTTACGTGATATAACATTGCACACCTCATTAACCACGCACACTTTAAGTGAATTGGTGTATTAATCCAAAGGCGACTGGACGAATTCTGGAGATGTGGTTTTGTTTATTATTATTATTTTTTTGTAGTTTTGTTGTCTACCGCTGTATCACTCACATCTTAAAAAATCTAGGAAACAACTGCTGGTTTTAGTGACAAGGAGGAATTATGGTGAATGAATTTCGAGGTTGTTTTTGAAGACATTTACAACAATAAATGCATTTTTTAGTCATAAAAATTGAAATTTCAATTCTTTAACTTTTAAATGTAGATTTTAATTGTATTTAATATTATCCACGTTTTCTTAATTCCATAGTTTACAGTATCAGCAATATCGATCGTGGGGATATAATATTATCTTTTGTACGTTCTGTACCTTTTCCTTTGTTGTAATAAAACAAACTCAAACACTTAACAGGAACAGCCAACGTGCGAAACCAATAACATTTGTTCAACAATTTCTAATTTTCCCTCTAACATTCACAGGAGAACACATGGAGCCGGCTTCTGAAACGTTTGGAACCGCCTTTGTATTGTAACACTTTTATCTGATACTTTCGTTTTGCCAGGAAAAAAAACCTCATTTTGTAATGTAAATGGAGGTCTGGTGAGGTTTTCCGAAGCGTAACTAATGGAAGAAATAGACGGATGTATTTATGGTAATGAGGGGTGCGCACCTAGCCGAGGCGCACGTTATAAATCGAAGGAGTAATAACCATGTATTTTGACTGATGTTGCACACGCCGAAGTGAAAATAAGAAGTTAACGGTTAACGGCCCTTATCACCTATAGCTGCTTCTACCGATACCTTTGTCGACTGCCTACCGTACGGTTTCCTTAACGTTTACCGGGGTAACAAAAACAAAATTGCCAACTACTTTACCTCTGGAGATTTTCCTGGTACAGTTTTATGTATTTTTTTTTTAGAAAACCTATAATTAACTCAACTAACCCCACTTGTGATTAAAAGGGGAGTGTGCTATTTTATACATTAAAAATCGTTTAAAGATCATTCGTTTGGTTTGTACAACTTCCAGACTAAATGAACGCTAACAAAACAAAAATGAAAGGGAAAATTGTCTTCGGCTTTTCTTGGCTCATAATAACAGAATCGGTTTTACAGATGGACTTCTTTAAGTGGTGTGTGTGGATGAGATTAAAAGCATGCAACACTTGATGAAAGTCGCAAAAAGCATGTAAAAGAATCTGTAATAGCAAACAATTTACCCGAGAGAGTTTCACCAATTTTGGCTATTCTGTAAGAGTTACGAAGTCTAATGCCATTTGTCATGGAAACCAATAAAACCGATTACATCAGTTTTTGTGTTGTGCTTTATTATTGACGTCTGCTTCGTCCTTTTCTTCTGCTAGGTAGCCGTTGTAAATACAGTAACTGTGAACCCGACAGTGTTTACAAGATTGAAAGCTTCAGCTAGCTGTCAAACTCCTGTTAAAGGCGTTAGGAGGTGGAAGGGTCTCTCCCTTTGAATGAAGTTGCTCCTGCACCCTTATTGGGTTAAAGCCCCCCAAGATGTAAACTGGGCTTGGGGTGTGTGTGAAGGTATACAATTGTACCTCAGAGCTAGGAGATAGACGCTTCAATTCATTACTGCTTTCAGTTCAGGAACTGAACTCGATACGCCGCGTTAACCATCCACTCCATTACAGTCCCTTGTGCAGTTTAATTGATATATTGATCAGCTGAAGAGCAGGGGGACTACGTGTTGTAAAAGTTTTCCAGTGGAGTGGATTGAAAGGGGGCCAGGTTGAGCAGCCCAGATCTAGGGCCACTCCAGACTTCTGGCTGGATTCCCTCGTGCTGCTATTTTTTCCAGGTCAGAGGAGTTTTGGGAGGTGCCACTATGGACCTCTCAAAAGGCTCGGTTTTGGGGAACTCGGTACGCACGATTCCCCCTCCCCAAACAGAGAAGATCTTCAAGCCGCCTCTGGTGATAAAGCCTGAAGAGAACTCCTCCAGTACCAGTCTTACTCCTCTCTGTGCTTCCTGCTCACCATAAGAGAAGCAAGCTTGCACAGACCAAAGCATTCAAGATTCAATTGGTGGAAAACCATCGCAAAGCCAAGTTCATCTACTGTAAAACCATATGAAGTCTATAGATTACCATGCAGATTGACAGTACCTCAGCAACCTTTTAGACAGGAAAATCCAAGATGTCTAAACCACAGGCTTCCAGCCCAGCACAAGTCTATAGGGGTCTCCAGGAAACTAGCTGCTGAGAAAACGAAGGAAAGACTGAACATGAAATCACTACCTGAGTAGGAAAAGAACATTGCAGCCCCCTTATGGTAATAGCACACAGGCCATAGTCACACGAGGGCCAAAATGCCCTACAAACTTGTGAAAGCATATACAGTACACGAGAGGATGAGGAATCGACTCCTCACACTCCTCTTCAAGCAGGTGAGCCTGTTATTCAGCCTATTAAATATGTTTAGGTCAGCATCTGGCGTTAAAGGAATTTTTAGTTTATGCACTGTATGGATCTTTGAACGTACGTAGCATCTACAGTACCAGTGTAAAATTCCATTTGAATTTTTACTGGATCGCTTGAGAAAGAGGCACTCCTCAGGTATGAAGTAAAATCTTTGCTGCTCCATCTCGGAAATGGGCAGAGAAGCAATGGTGCCGCATATTTTGACATTTTCATTCGCTTTGTCATAAACCAAATATTTTTCAAAAAGTATTAGTACATAATGTATAACGTATTGCCTTATTTACCTTTGTTAAATTGTATTTGATATTTCTGGATAGTAGGGTTGCTAACGAAACAAAAATATATACTGGTTTTAAGCTTTCTGCATGTATTTTTTTTTAATGCAAGTGAAGAGCACCGACCGGTATGCACAAAGAAAATGTTTTTTTCTGAAATGCTGCTTTAATAATGTCACCACACAAATGAAGTGACCTAGGAGATGTTTGTGTGATTTGGTCATTTCTAAATGAATATTGCCAAGGCGCTCAGATGCTATCAGCACTCTGAGCTTCAGGAAAAGTAACACCCCTACTGTACTGCTAATAAAATAATATTACATTCACTCCTATTGGAACAGTACTGGGATAAAAGCTTTATATTTCCCCTTTATCCCAGGAGCTGCCATCTGGAAACCTGCATTGTGGCTCAGGACGGAATATTATAAATGCGGAAATGAGCTGTGCCCCTTCTTCCCCTGCAGTTGCTTTGTTCTCTTCTCCCCTCTGTGTGACCCCCTTATTGGCATTGTTCTTCATTTTTGGGGGGGGGTATCTTTGACATCTTTTTGGGTGGGGCCAGTTTGAGCCAATTCCCCACTGGAAGAGAAGAGACCCAGTTGGGCTGGATTCTATAAAGAACAACGAAATCCCAAATCCTAAAGTTATGTTTTATTTAACCATGTGCAGAGTCATTATTTGTTTATTTCGGAATAGATTAATTCATGTGAATATCAAAACATTAATATTAACAATTGAGGCAGCTTAAGGGAGCGTTTTATAGACCTACCTTTAAATCTAGTGTTGCCTACTGTCAATAGAAATTCAGAAATGAAGAACAAAACAGCTATACACTGCACTGATGTGATCAGGGTGAAAGCAACTTCATTTTTATCTTTCTAAACACTTCATGTATACATGCTTAACAGTTCAGATATTATAGCTACTGGGTGCTCATGGTTCTAAAGTTGGCCTTTTCAGACAGCTGTATGGTGGAAGCCAAGTCATGTTATTTGGAATATATTCAAGTGGAGCCACAGGAAACAGTTTACCATGGATAACACCAGGGGCGCTTGCAGATGTCACACCCTCATTGTTTGATGGCTCCTGGTTTTCACTGTGCAGTAAATCCCAAGTCCTGTTTAAGATACCTGAGTGAGACCATGGATTCACTCAGGTGGTGGCTGAGGTGTGTAATATGTTGATAATGAAGTTTAAAGGTTTCTTAAAAATGCTTTTGTATCAGAAATGTCAGTCGGCTGCTGGAGTCAGAGGGCTGAAGCCAGGATTCAGTGATGCAGTCTGGTTCATGTTTCAGGCTTTAGTGTGTACTTTCTTATTATTCACACCCATCCATTATGAGAAAGCCACTTTTTCTGTTCAAGGTCAGATCCCCTCCTGGTAGGAAAGTGTAGGAGGTGGTTATGGGATGCCAGTCAAGCGTACGGCATGCTCACACACAAGTGTGAACCCAAGAAGACATCGGGTAGCTTGGTCACCAGTCTTTGGGTCAGTGGAACCCAGAGTACCTGGAAGAAACCCACAGAACCCACTGAGAGAACATGCAAATTCCACACAGAAGGCATTTAAATCCAAATTCAAACCCAGGACCAAAGAGTCCCAGCTGCCACACCATTTTGATTTCTTTATACCACTTATAAATCATCCAAAAGCAACATACCTGTCTGTAACTCTGAAATGTGCTGCCTGGGAGCAAATGAAGAAGTCAGTTGCATTATTTGATTTTGAAAATGAATTTCCTGCATCATTTCCTTGACATTCATTTCTGTTATCCAACTTGTTTTTTGGTATGTGGGTTTTTTTTTGTGAAGATGCACTTCAATTGGCTTTTGTTCTTGCAGCATGGCCTTGAATTACTAATAAATTACAATACTAAAATAATTACATACAAATCAAACAAAATTATAATGCTTATAATAAAAACTAAATAATTCAAAAGGGCTTTGAAATGAAAAGGGCCAGAGGAACAAAGAATCTTGAAACAACTGAGGTGTGTAATATGTTGATAATGAAGTTTAAAGGTTTCTTAAAAATGCTTTTGTAAGACCTTTAATGCAATATAAATACTCAAGGTCACTAATAAAAAACTGCTCGCTGCCTGTTTTGTCACCAATAAGAGAACAATAAACTGCAGTAGTAAAGCATCATATAAATTCTTCAGTTTGCTAGTTTTAGAGTCTCTGTAGGCAGTTTAAGTGTTTTTATTTTGTAACATCAGGAGATTGCTTTTCCACTTAAAAAAAGCAGTAAACATAGCATGATGAAAGACTACGCATTTGGCCCTCCTTTCCCAAAACAGTAGTGTCTGAGTACAACCGCTGCTAAAAGAGGCAACAACAGATTGGCTTCACAGTATCTGTGGAAATTGAATTGCCTGGTGTAATTCTGTTAAAATGTACAAGCATGTACCTGAAACTACTGTGGTGTTCTGCATTGTAGTGCAGCTGACACGCTGTCAGTACTGTCTCCCACATTGCAGGATTACAAAAAGCACCCCAATGCGTGGCTCCTGAACAAAGCCTGTACATAGCGTCCCTAGAAATTCTCTTTCTGGGACATTTGAGTTTTCATTAAAGAAGCTTCTGCATCAATCGGTAGAATTCGAAGGTAGGTTTTCACAAATGGAGCTGTGATATATTTACTATTATTTGCGTGAACTTTATAGCCCAGCCTTGTAGAGATCGGTAATTCTTACAAAACAAACGCAAGCATAAAATGAAACTGGCAAAAATCATGGCCTCAACCAGTGTGCAGCTTAAACTTTTGCATGAAGCAGAGCCTGGCGCAGCTGACGATAGCAGCACTCTAGGTAGAAATGCCCTGATAAAATCTGCCTATTTTGTTATGTTTGCCGCTGCCTATTTTGAGCTGCACAACTAGAAAGGCTTAAAAACCCACAGAGCTGCAAATTTCAACATCGGTCATAACAAATTCAGAATCCCTCCTGCTGTTCTGCTCGCTTTGCATCTGATTATAAGGACTGGCCTTAACCTTCTGTGGAGATGATATTAATAGAGAGCCAGCTGGGCTTTTTTTTTCTTTTGTCATTTCACAGTGATACTTATGTAGATCGGCGCGAAAAGTTAGTTCCCGAGTGTGTCCAATCATAAAACTGTGAGTTGCATTGTCGTGGTCCAAACATGATGTTTTTAAACAAGCTGTTACCAAAACCCTGCAGTACTCCCCCTTTATTCCCGCCGAAGCAACTTTAAGATGTTTGTAATGACGTTGAAGATGGTCATGCTTTTTCCCCGATTGTCTCCCTCCAAACCAGCCAGGCCACCTGGCACTGAGAGCTCTGTGCCCAAACATATTGACACATGGCTAATCCCTATTGTTCTCTTACTCAGCTTGTGTTTGACAGAATTGCAAACAACCTCAGGAGAACCTCATGTATAAAGATTAAGGCATGGTTCTGGGACACTTTATGGGCAAATCTAAACTCATTAAGTCATCCATCAAGCTGCAGGGTGTTTTGACACACAACGTGTGTCACTTGCTCAACAGTACCATTTGATGTGACCTGCATACACCATTTTAAACCCTTCCCTCCCATTTGCTTTTTTTAAAAGGTGCCTGAAATTCA